GGGAGGAAGCGATCTGGCGCGGTGAACTAAGTGTCTGTCTTTTGCTTTTTGTTTTTGCCATTTTTTTTTCTTTTGCTTTGCTTTGCTGAGCTTGGATTAGTGAGGGGAAACCTCCACTGACTCCATGTCACAGAGGGAAGCGGGACACACTGCTTGGTTCAGCGAGAGTTTATGCACACTCAATCTTTCCTGAAGTTTCTATCTTGTAGACCCAGTGGTTTCCTGTTTCCTTCTTGCTGGCCCTGATCTCTGTAGAGATAGTGCCAGAGCAGGAGAGTATTGTCTTAAAGCCAAAGAATAATTCTTCTAACTTGTTAGTACTCGATTCAAGTTTATGGCAGAACAGGAGGCTCCTTAAATGGCCTTCTCATACGAAGGTCGCAGGAATCTTTCACATTGCATGTTTGTGAGGGCTCTACCTGAAAGCATGCATACCTAGACTGAACAGCCAATTATTCGAATTGCACCACCAAAGCAATGCAAAAAAAACTGTGAGCAACCCAGTGAAATAGACCATAAATGCCTGCTATAGGATTTGAGATTTTTTTCTCAAGGTTTTGTTGTTGCTGATTTTAAGCACTTGGTATGTTCAGAGCTTATGGATGCAGTTCCTATTCTGGAACCATCAAGCATGAAGGACATGAAATATGTCCGTCTACAGGCCTGATAAAATGGACATTTCTCCCTGTTCAGAGAGGACCAGCCAACCACTCTTGGTTTTGGCTTTTGTTCTCATGAAAAACAGTTATATAACCTGCAGGCGCAGGTGCCTCTCCACAGCTGGTCAGCAAGTTAGCTTCATCAGGGAAGTCAGAGTGAGCTGGAAGAGCCCCGTACTCAATGGGGTAAGAATGTAGATGGCATAAGTCAGACACAGACGGAGTAAGTGCCATAGCCAAGGTCCCAGGGGAAATGAGTCTACCTCGCAGGTCAGGAGTGGATGGTTCTTTAAATTACCCCTGAGCAAGTCAGTAGGGAATGAGCTTGTGCCTTTGAAGGCATGAATGATCCTCAGGTGCAGGAATGTACAGTCAGGAAAGCCAGTTCTCTTTCTTTGCACCAAAGGGGACTTGAAAGGTCTCCATCCAAATGGCACACACTTATGTCCTGTGTGTGGGCCTTCTGGTGAGAACAACAAACTTTCCTTCATGTTGCAGCTGCCACTGGATTTTGCCTGTTTTTAGTCTTTAGCATCTTGCTAGTCACCTTGCGTGGCTGTGAGCATGTCCTCTGATTTTACACCAGCGTTTGCAGAAACTCAGTTCAAAGAGACACAGATACTCTTTAGTTTAGGTTGCAAAGCCCATCCCTTGCAGTCCCTACCCACAGATCCCACAGGAGTCCTCTCAGCAGGCTGACTCACTGTTCAGGGCCTGAGAGCTATGGCTGCTGCACCTCAAAGGTTTCTTTCAGAAAGCAAGAGCGAGAAAGAGATGCATTTCCCTGTTTCAGGACAAGAAAGGGTCAGAGATCCCGCAGGTAAGATCAGAATTGCTATGGCTGCCTGGGAAGAGATGGTCTTAAGGGAGTTTTACAGTGGTAATTGATATTTTAGTGAGTAGTGTTTGAGATATGCTAATAACTCCTATTCCTATCTTTTCTTAAAATAGGAACTGTCTTTCACTGCCACACGAATTTTTGTATTAGTAGGCACTTTTTTCATGCTACCTGCAGTTGCTTGTTAGAGAACTGGGGCTTCTGGATACAGAAAAGTAAAAAAAAAAAGGAAGTGGGGCATGCAGAGTTTTTGAATGTCAACTTATGCATGACATCAAATTGCATTATAGCATGTGATTTATCCTTTCAGTATGTTAGGGGTTTAGTATAGGAATCCCAAACATGCCAGCTTTCCTGTGCTATGCTTGTAGAGCTGAAGGAGATATTACAGAAGAGAAAGGAGGTAAAAATTCTGGTTAGATGGATAAAGAGCAATGCAGAGATACTCTGCCTACAGCTGTGCTTTACCTCACCACTGCTGTTCATTCCCACTATACATCCTCCTATCTCCCCTCTGCGAGAGAAGTATGGAAAAACAGTGTTTTGGGGCTAGTTATGGACTGAGTGAAATGGGCTCTGATGAACACCTGCTCTCAAACACCACATTTCTTCCGTTATGTGGCCTTGACGGAAACCCAAAACCACAGTTAGTGTTTCTTGTATTTAATTTGCAAAATAGACTTACAGTGCATAGAATGAATGCTGGCCTCAGGCCATAAAAACTATGCATCTTTTGCGAAGAAAAACTAATACCAGAATTAACTCACTGGAGACTTTTTTCCTTCCCCCTGCCCCGTGCAGTTTACAAAGCTCAGACAGACTGGGAGTGCAGTGCCAGTAACGCAGAGAAAATTCTCATGCAAGATTTATAGGACAGTTTTGAACAGGAGATGCCAAAAATGGAGGAAAGGGGCACTCCTCGCAAATATGCATAAAGCCCTCATATAACGGGATTTCGCTGAGAGCTACAGATTATTCCCATCTCTAGCAATCAGTTCAGAGCAATTGCTGCTATCCGAAGCTCGCTTACATCAGCTGGGAAATAATTGTTACTTTGAAACTCCATGGTGATCTGCTTTTGATTGAGCTGCTGCTTAACGGAAAGGCAGTAAGCAAGAAGACCAAAACAATTACAGATTGCTACAAACCCAGTTGTTATTACAGATACCTTTATAACTCAATTTAAAACATTCCATTAGCCAGCATGCTGGTAATATGCTTTTTCTGGCAGAAACTCAGCAGACGTTATTGCTTTCTTTCTCTTCTCCCTCCCAAATTAATGCATTAGCTTTCTGAGCTATAGGACATCCTCAGCCCACAGGATTTGCTGCAGGAAGAGGTCTTTTAATGAGGTAAAAGCAGAGGATCTTAGGGATGGTAAGTAGTAAGGATATCAACAAAGGCTAGCTTAAAAGTGAGGTTACCTAGTAGGACTCACCAATGCTTCAAAGCACATATTTATATAGATGGGATTCACTGACTCAACTTTTTAGGATATATTATGTCGTAGGCTTGTGCCCTAAGGCAGGTGTTAATCTGATGACCTACAAGCTACTGATATTTTAGGTCAGTCAAGAAGGCAAGCCTCCTCTAGAAGGCAAGTAACCCCATCTTAGGAGTAGTGTTGAGGATGGCAGTCCAGTTACATGAAGTTCAGACCACCCTTCACCCCAAAAGCTGATGGCAACCCCTTGTCTGGCCTTTTGTCCACACTGGGTACAAAGTCCTGTTTGAACCAGGGCTAGCTGGAAGAGGGTCAGACTACTTTTAAAACATGACCCCTCTTCCTGTGTCTAGACAAGGCATAAATTTATTCCAGTCTGAGAGGTTATAACTCATGGTTTGAGGGGCCAGGAGAAAGGAGTGAGTTATTACGAGGAATTAGTACTCTGTGTTTGCATTTCATTAACGCGTAGAGGCCCCAGTCAGGATCAGGATCTGGTGAGACATGACTCAATGAGTGGTGGGAATTCGGGGGTGGACCTTGAGTTTTGGAAAAAGCTGGAGGAGTGATTTTCTTGGCTTGTTGCAGGAGGGCAAACAAGACATGATGGAAGAATGAAAAAGAAGTTGGCATGCTAGTGATCCTTGCAAAATACGGAAGGAATCTGAGAGGCATGTTAGCGGTACAGATGGATGGGATTTTGATGGAGCAAAGTTGGAGGAAGATAGTTCAAACCATTCTGAAAATGGTGTCAGCCAACGTGTCCCATTTTCCCAAACAGTTTGAGCTAGAAATGCAGTAAGATGATGGGAAACACATGAAAATCAAATGCAACTGGGACTACCTCATCTATATCCTCAGAAAGAAGAATTTGAAATGTATAGGTTGCATTTGTTAATACATGATTTGGAGAAAAGGTTGTTTTGTTTGGATTCGATTTGTGCAACAAATGGTAGAGAAAAATCATGCTTTGCTTATTATAAATGCGTCCTTTGGGTGCTTTTCTGTTAGAAAAGGCTTTGACTATCAGAGACTTTTTGTGTGCATGCTTTCAACTTTCTAATCATCTCTTGTGGAATTGGTCAGTAGACAGGCCAAATGTTCTGCTTCATCTTCCACGAAAAAAAGATATTATTTGTTCATCATGGTAATGAAACATCTTAGGCCTTCTGCATGCTTGAATTGGCTTTCCAAAGACCATAAGGGCACCATCTTTCCTTTTTAAAGACACTTCACTTAGTTTTAGCCACTCAAGAATTAGGGGCGTATTCTCATCAACTTAAGCTTGCCCTATGCTCAGCCTTGAGATGAACGTGATGGTGGCAGCTCTGGGGCACAGGACGGGTCAGTGCCCTGTCCCGTGTCCTTTCCCTTCCTTACACAGAGTCAAACCAAAGCATGAGCACCTCTGAAAGCAGTGGGGGGAAGCAAAGGGGAAGGCATGTATCTCCTCACCTACCGCCTGCTATGGAGAAAGGCAGTGGCTGGAGAGAGGATGCGGTGTTGGGTCACCAAGTTTAGCATCTCTGAAAAACACCTACTCCGTAGCAACGCCAGAAAGCCACCTGGTCCAGGGCCCCGTTTTATTAGGCACTCGGCAGGCACTGCAGCCAAAGCGCTCTGCAGTCTGTAATGAAGCTCGCACACACAAAATGAATCTTTCTTTGAATGATGAAGACAACTTAAGTGACTGAACCTAAATTACACCACCCTTTTAATGAAATACACCTGAGCATGACAGAGGTTTCAGGTTACTTCATAGGGGAAGCCTCTCTTTCTCGTAGGCTGGGTGTGGGATAGCGTATCTCCGAGGTGCACATTTATGTTCCACTCCAGTTGCACTCCCGGTGCACATTTATGTTCCAGTCTCTGCGTTGGACAACAAAATACAGTGTTCGGTATTTAATGCTGGCAGTAACAGCTGACAGGTTGCTCACAGGACTTGCCAGATCCTGGCCCAAACCTTTCCACTTGCACATGCATGCTTTAAAATTCAAAATGACTCAGGAAGGAAAATTTCAACCATTCTGATCTGTATTGTCTCTCTTGTCTTTTCCAGCCACTTCTACGTCTACAACTGGGACAAGTCATCTCACAAAATGTGACGTAAAGCAGAAAGCCTTCTGTGTAAATGGGGGAGAGTGTTACATGGTTAAGGATCTCCCAAACCCCCCAAGATACCTGTGCAGGTAAGAAATCCGGTTTGCCTAATTTGGAGCCATGATGTTTCATAAGCGCTTTCTTTTTAAAAGGAACACATCAGAAATTTCATTTTCCAGATTTAATGCATATTTCTTCCTTCTTAAGTATGTGGATATGAAAATAATCCTACTAGAAATGACCTCCATGTTGTATGTATTATGCACAGCAGAGGTGAACCCACAAATCTTTCCATGAGAAAAATGGGACAATGAGGTCTGTTGGTGTCTATATCGCATAAAGTAACATGTATTAAGCCTTAAGTTTGAAAAAAAGTGAAACAGATACTGTAAACTAAATATACATTAAATAGGAAAAAAAAAAGTTGAAATAACTGTTTTGGAAACTTATCTTTTATACAGGAAAAACTGTGGTTATGTTTATTATCTGCTCTAGTAACTAATTTTCTGCTTTCCGATAAGACTAGATTCACAACTGGAGTCATTACGGTTGTGTTAAATGCATAAAAACCAATGCTTGTCATGCTAATTGATGGAGACTACCATTTCATACACGGATCTTGATTCAAGAAGTCATATAAACACACGTTTATATGAAAATGAGTGTCCATGCACCTTCCTCAAATCTTACCCTGCTCAGTAGCAGGCTGTTGCAACAGACTACTCTTTTGCAGAAGAGACATTGAGAACTGAGACACTGGAGTGTGTATTCCCTCACTGCTAGCACATTATATTACATATACTTCTGATGCTGGACTGGGCTCAGCAAGTTAGTGCCTCTCTCCAGCTTAAAAGGGAGCTCAGAATTTGGCATGTTCAGAAATGTTCTTGGGACCTAGTGGGGCTCATCTGAAAGGAGTCACCTGTGTGAGGGTCTGCTGCAAGAGGTGGTGGTCAGCAGAGAAAGCAGTCCTCTGTAACTGCATAGATTTACAGTCTTTTAAGAGTAAAAATCAAATGCTGGCAATTGCAAAACTGACTCTGAGAGGCGAGAAGGAGAAAGGTCTTTGATGGTTTCATTAGGGCATGAAGACACAGAGTACACTGCTCTGGTTTTGATCACAAAAAGGCACAATGTTCTGCTCTACTTGTGTATTTTTTTCCTGTAATTGTAGGATCTTACCTGTAATTTGTGAGGTCTGTTTCACTTTATACTTTCCCAGACTACTCTGCTGCCGAAATCATGAATATTTTATTCATTTAAGAATCATTTTTACCTAAATTGAATATGGAAAAGTTACTGACTCTTATGGGTTGGATTTTGGTGGGGGAGGAGGAGAAAGAAAGAGAAAAGAGTTGTGTTAAATTTACATGCTCTTTTCAACCCATGAGTACAAGATGAGCAGTTTCATACAGCTCTCCCAGGCATGTACCAGAGCCTGCCTGCCTGTTTCCATTTCCAGTCCAAAAACCACTCAGATCACCTCAGAACGACAGAGACGAGTATATAGCAGCATTCCTACTAATTGGTGCTGCCTTGACAGCTCCAGAGCTACTCTTTTTGTTCACTGTGTTATGGGATTTTTTTAAAAAATGCAGGATCTGACAGAATTTGCTCTTTGATGTTATAATTTGACTAATTCTTTACAATGAAATGATTCACAAACACTTGAATGGAAACTTTTTTTTTGGTAGACAAGAAGTAGCCTTTAAATCTAGGTTGGAAGTTGGAAAAAAAAAAAAAAAAAGCAACTTCCAAATTGGCAGATGTGCATCATTCTGGGTGGCCCAAGACCTATCTGGAAAACGCATCAGAACTGTAAAATCAGACTGGATGAATCTCATTTAGTGTAAGGCAGTGAAAAAGTTCTTTATTCTGAGTACAGTCACTGCCACAGTTGTAGTGTTGGCCTTCTGCTATACCTTCCAATACTTGCCATCACGAAGCTGCATGTCCTATAGTAAACCATGAAACGATACAATAACATAAGAAGTGAAAGGGTGAGTACTTGCAAGAGACTATACTGAGAAACTGATGAGGCAATGCAGCGTTCTTTTCTGAGTGAGTAAAAAAATGCAGAATACTTTTAATTCCAGTACTCCAGTGTTAATTAAAATGAATACCTATCAAGTACACATTGCCTTCATTGTTCTGAAAAAAAATAAATTTTCCACCAGAACATGCCTGTGGAAGCAGAATGCCTAAAATATGGTACTTGCTCTTCATATTTCTGCCTAGTAGCAAGTTCGAATTTTTCCATATGGTCCATCTGTTGAGAGCAAAAACAAAATTTCTAAAGCATGAGCCATGTCATTAAAATTGGTTTTATCCCTTACCGAAAAACATCACTTATATCTGCAACAACCATGGAATTTTCCAAATAATATCTCTGGTTTTGTAAAAACTTCAATTCTATTAAAATAAATATCCTCTTTCTTCTTTTGATATAAGCTAGAGGTATGTATTCAAAAATTATTTTTCTAAAACATGTGATATCATGTTTTTGCTCTCCTAGATACTAATGTGAATTTTGAGAAAATTACCTGCTTTAGAGAGGTAATTACTTGAAATACTCAAGAAGTGTTTCAAGACTTAGTAATGTATTCTTTGACTCTATCTCCAGTAACATGTATGATTTGTATGAGTAGTTTTAATTATAGTGACAGACTGAACAAAATAATCTCCAAACACTAAGGATGAAAAGGAAACTTTGAGAACAGTTAAATAAATTAGCATCTAATATTTTCAGAAGTTTCATAGGAACATGAGTCCTATTTTGATTATGGTGTAGACTTTGGGAGTCTGGATTTCAACAACTTCGTGAAAGACTTAGTTTTCTAAGTCTCTTCTGCTGAAAATGTATCCTCAAGCCACTGAAGACACAAAATCAAATGGCTCCTTAAACAAATATACAATTAAGACCAGCGCTCCTAGTGCTTGGTTGTCATTCGAGCAAAACTGTATAGAGAATTTTAGAGACTTCTCTTGTAGAATCCTACTATGAAGCCTCTGGTGTTTGACTAATCTGCTAGAAATCCACTGGCAGACATCTTCTTTTACAGTGCTTTTGCTGTTATTGAATAAATGAATTTTAAGTTCTAATTTCACTAGTTGAAAGCAATGCTTTTGTCTAACAGAGGAAAACAATGCTTCTTTCTAATGGAAGGATGTTGCTTCCCTTCTTAAGCAAGGGTGAATTGCTTAACTTTTAATGGTGTAGACACTGCCTATATTCTTCCTCATGTAAAGGCCTTGCTGGAATAGAAATTGATGGAATGTTCTAGAAAACAGCAAAAAGATAAAGATTTCTGTCCCAATACTAACGAAAGTTTTGAGGAAATTGATTCCAGAGGCAGAATAAAAATGATAGGTCTGATCTAAGCTATGAAACAGACCAGTAAATTAAATTTTTGTGAAAAAAGGAATATTAATATATTTGCTTGTAGGCAGCAGATTAAATGGAAATTCGAAGTCCTT